GAGAGCTTTACTGAATGAGGGCCTTTATATAAGCAAAAATTTGGTTTAATGAATGAAGCATACTACAGGTTCTGCCTTTACCTCTGAGCTCATTGCTTCAACCTATTGCATTGGCCAGCCTGTTGTCACTCTTCTCTTTTGTCTAGAAGAACTTTAGGGCAGATTACCTTTTGGAGCAAGACCAGTACTCTATGCGCTACCTTGGAAGACACAGTAATAATTTGAAACCTTGTTTATGGCCACAATTTTATAGAATCACAGAAGGTAAACATTAAGGCTGCCATCTTACCTGCATTACCTTAATTCATTTAGTATAGTATAGTTAATTCAGTGTTAAAGACAATTACCTCACCAGATTTACTGCCACATCTTGGCCAAGGTAACTAGTAACTCTAGTTTAGCCTATTCAACTAAGTAAAACAGAATTATCACAGATCTTTCCTTACAAATTCTGCACTGTGATTATGTACATGTTCACAATGTTTCATAAGCAATGTACTGTGGTTTATCTATTGTCTACTGCAATATCTGAGACTAGCATGTGATTTGATATTTGCATATATATTTTGTGATTATTTTAGCAACATCCATCTTACCTGAGAAGTTTAATATGAAATGGCAGACTTACCCTGAATTTCTTGTGTGTGCATATATGTATGCATGGGCACACACATTTCTGTTTAACATCCTCATACAGCAAGTGTTTATAGCTTCGGTACAGATTATCTAGTTTAGAAATCACAGAACTGGAGCTGCTATACACATGGAGAACAACATTAAAGGTGCATATTTTGGTTCAGCACAATCGGTAAGCTGATATTCAGTTCAAAGAGACTTTTACCCTGGCGATTAGAATATTGAAAAGGTTAGGTGTGTTCATGAGAAAGGCACAGCTGTGTGGTCCCAACCTGCAGCATTTGAAAGGCTGTTCAAGTAAATTGCAGCTCGCTCCCACACACAGACAGATAGATTTGGGTGCCTTCTACATGTGGTACATGCACTGAAAAGACTTCCAAAAAAAATTGGGAAAGTCTTTGTTACTTTGAAGCATTCAATTTTCACCTAACCTTACAGCCTCTCTTTATAAATATAAAACTTCAAAATAACTTGGGTCATTTTGCTGTAACCAGGGCTAAAAAAAGAATCTTCTACAGAACTTTTTCTAAAAGACTGCTGACTCTGTGAAGATGAGAATAAAACTCGGCAGCCTGGATCTTAACTGGTGGCTTAGTGTCTAAATCTCCTGCTAAGGATCTGGCTCAGCTCTTTCAGGTGAAATCAAGCCCTTCTGACACTAACAGCAGAACTCCCACTGTCTCCAAAGAAGAGAATTTCTCTTTCCAATTTTTCATCTGAGTGTTTGGTTCCACTTTTTTATGATTTTAATGTTTTGGGAATATCTGAGCCAGTGGCTTCAGGTTTCCAAATGCCAGACACATAGGAGACATTACCACCTACCCGGATTTCCGATGTCCCAAGTCTTACCACCGAACGTGAAACCCTTTCTTCAGCATATCCCTCCTGTGCCTTAAGTAATTATGTGAGAGCATACATGCACCTGATGTGTCAGACCATGTCCCCAGGATGTGCGTAGTAGTAGGGGAATGACAATGCAGCCATGTGCAATTAGCAAATGTCTTCCACTGGGTCACTTTTAGTAGTGCGTCTTTCAGGGTGGCTCACCTTCAGCCCATAGTCTGGTAGTAGGGTCTAGGTTGCTCTATGGTATTAGTAGGTGTTAAGGAACTTCAAAGCATATTAATGAAAATTAGCCTAAGCAATGCCAAGTGGAAAGAGGATTAAAGGAAATGGTACTACTTGAGACTGTGTCAAAAGTCAGAGGTATCAGAGGACCCTTAGTCTTTGAAAGGTAACAAAAGCTGGATGACTGTGATTCTTAGGAACATGGAATTTAGGACTTAAACATCCTGACTTCATTCTCTCAAGTTTATAAGAATTAGATTTACAAATACTCACCTACATGTTCTGTTTACTGAACAACTAAATGTACTGCCTCACTTTTTTTTTTTTTTACACTTACTTACTGTAGTATCGAAACACCTTTAAGTTTATTCATTTTAAATTCCTGAACTCTCTGGGGCAACTGTCTTGAATTTTCTTAGTCCCCAGATCATCCCCTGGCCTTAACAAGCTGCAGTGGCATCCCTTCACTACATGGCTCAGACTCACTGAGTCACAAATCAGGCTGACCAGTTACATCTGGCACAGGAAGCCTCAGAGAAAAAGAGAAGGCACAGCACTGCTCACACAAGGTACAAGCCTAACTGCGGAGGAGCAAAAGGAGACATCCAGGTGAAGGACACTTCTGCTCATTGTCTGAGACTAGACCCATGCTAGACTGCACAAGTCTCCATGGTACACATCAAGCTGATTTACAGAAGGATGAAGTAAGGAAAAGATGGTTATAAACAATGATAAATCCTGATTTACAATAGCTCAAACTGTGACAGAAATTGTATCATTAGCCAACAACAGAACGCTTAAAAGATTTGTGAATTTTGTTTATGTGTTTGTATTTATTATTCCACTCTAGATATCTTTATCATGGAAGCTTAAACAAAATGAGGTCATGGCAATGTGTGACGCTGTTGATAATCCATGCCATGAGTAATCTTCCTGTGCTGCAAGAGCACAGATAAGTGTTCAGTAAGCTTTGCCCAAATGATTTAAAGTTAGCTCATGCACATTAGGTGTCTGCCTGCCTGTTCATAAATCTTTGACGTGTATGTCTGGCTGGTGTGTTGTGCCTGACATGTGAACCGTGTAAAATACAGTTCACAGGTTTTTATTACAGCGGTACCTTTAATATCTCCACCAGCAGGTATTTTATACTTCATAGATACAGTAGCTAACGCTGCTCTCCAGTCACAGCATATCACCTCTGTTCGACCCAAATGCTCTTCCAGCTTTCACTCTACTGTGCCAATTGTACTCTCCGTATTAGGAGTCTTCCTGACAGGTATTTCCTTTCCAGAGATAGGAAGGACCTAAGCTCAGGTTCAACATTGAGTGTAGTGTGACACCTTTTCACCTGAAGATTTTTCTCCTGAAAAACCCTGAGCAGATGACGTACGGTGGGAGAAGGAAGCCCATCAGTCAGAGTGCTTGATGCCTTTCCTGACTCTCCATCAGCCTAGCTAGTCTGAATAAAATCCTTCTACTAGGAGCATCTCTCACTGAAAGCAGAGGGGAAAAAGTAACTGTCTCTTAGGTGGGGGTACTGGTTGCCACTTGAAAATTAGCTATTATGAGCCAATATTAACTACACAATAAAGCCAGCTGGCTTCAGCCAAGCCAAAGTATTGCTGCCGTGTGGAGGCAGCAGCGTAGAGCAGAGCAGTTAAGGCATGTTGGCCCACTGCCTTTAAAGGGATGATGCTCTTCGCCACTCAGGCCTATCAGGTTTCTAACTTACACTGTGAGCTACTGCTAAAACCAATGAAAAGATCCAAATTACATGCAGTCTTAGATGGAAAATAGTATCACTATCTGTCCCGGTGGTCCACTGTTCATGTTTTGACACCGGTTTTGACATAATTAGAAATAAGTAAAGGTTTGATAGCTCCTGTTTGCTCTTACTCTGAAATGAGTGCAGGCTGTGACAGGAGCTGGAAAGTGAAAGCAGCACCCTGGGAATATCAAGGACTTGTCTGCATACGGAAGTTGCGCTGCTGTAAACGTAACTCAATCCAGTTAGAGCAAGTCTTTTTTCAGGGTTTCCCTAACATATAGTGATTTATAACTGGCTCTTGTCGTTGTAAATTTTCACACTCATGCTTGCAAGCATAAGTCAAAGGGGCAATCCTGCACAGACTTAACTAAATCAGTGGGAAAAAACCCTACTTTTCATTCCATTGATATAACTTGGACCAGTTCTAATATGGATTAGATATGACTTTAAAAGTTCACGGCTTCTTGCAACCAGGGAAAAATCCAAGGGACTTCCATTTCATAAACTTGGTATTATCTGCTCTCTTCCAGCTTATCAAGAGCCCTATTCTACTTTTAAAGACAATTACGGGTCTTAAAAGATATTAAGCTGCTCTCTTGGGGAGTCATAACACTATTTTGCCTTGACATAAAGTACTAGATAATAACCAGACAAGTTGCAAGATCCTCCTCCTCCCGGACCTTCTGTTCCACCAAAAGGGGCAAGATTTCCTCAGACCTTTCTTTATTCAATTTTTTTTTTTAGTAAAAAGACAAGAGTGCAACAGCAGAACACTGCAACCTGCTATAATCACAATGCACTGTCATGACACCAGTAGTCATGACAAGTTTGTCCTTCCCTAAGTTTCTACAGAACACAGAGATGCGTTGGACCACATGCTGGCTGGCAGAGATCAACACACTGAAACCAGCACCATAGGAACATTTTTTCAAGAAGTCTAGAGCCTGCAGAGGAAAAAAAGGAATGACAACTCCTGATTTAGAGCAGTTTAGAGTATCTGTTCTAGTGCCTGCACACAGACTTCTCTGGTCAAGCTCAACGATTACCTTGCATTCAGTTCCACTTTAAAAGCTTTAATCTGTATATGGCTGCCTGAGCCAGCAAAGAAAAGTATTTGACCAATCACAACACTACTCCAAAAATCAAGGACAAACAAGAGCATAGAGATAAATGAATCCAAGGATTTTCAGTGTAAATATGGTGGATATTTAACTGTGGTGTTTGCCCTGGCTGCCATGACAACAAACAGCAGATTCAAGATTCAACAGCACAGTTGAAATTAAGGTTATATGTCTTGAACTCACTTACTAGTGTCCTGTAGTTCAGAAAATTTTCCTTGCAACCCTTGGATGCAGCAATACAGCATGATACAGCAGTGCACATCCAGTTTTCCCCATTCACACCTGATGTGAGATCTTTACAGAGACCTACATCGTGGACCTACCTACTATGGCATTTCTGAATTAGCAGGACATGTATAGTACTTGGTTAGGCAGCGCACAACCACTTGTTTAATTGACATTCTTACCTCTGCAGCTAAGTAGTTTCCAGTTGCCAAATGCTTAAATCTAAACAAGCTATTCCACTGTCCTGCCCCACCCCGGCAAGGGTCATGATGGACAACCTGAAAGAAGAAGTACAGATTTTAATCCTGCTCCTCAAAATCATACTTAGATCACCAACATTTCTTACAGATCATTCCAAATAAAAATATGTAAACTACATAATTACAAATAGTTTACCTGAGAGAGGAATTCTGTGCTCACGCTAAGCCCACCATAGATAACAACTACTTACATTTATTTTTTGCCAGGTGCCAGGAAATACTCCTCCTATTACTTTCCATGTTTTCATTAATCTACTCCCTGCAAACACGATGAGCCAAATTTCGCTTTAAAATGACATGGTGTAAATCTGGAGCTCAAGAAAGTAGAGCTGCTCTACACTTACACAGGCACTGCTTAACAGCAAAACTCAAACCCTCTTACATTGTTTCACCACATACCAGCTCTATTTTTGACAACAGTAGGGGCTTCTGATAAATTTTCGTTCAAGTGATAAAATATCCCCATATCATTTGAAATATCCCAGGTTATTTCTTTTTCCCCTTGACTGAGCTGTAGGTCATTTGCTACCTTCAAACCTAGCAGTGCCTGTCTCTCTTAAGAAGTAATCTCAAATTAACTACAACTGCAATAGACTCTATTCCATACAGTCCTTACTCGGACAAAAATCAACCATTTGCCTGAGTGAGGAGCTCTGTTTTAAATGCACAAAGTTTGTTCAGCACATAAGAACTTTTGGGTATAGGAGTTACATTACTGTAATAGCAAGGGTTTGAGACATACCAGTTTCCAATCTTCCTCAGTTAAACAAAAATATATTTGCTAGTCATCTTCTCAAAATCACCCCCATTCAGCAACAACACCTTTATTCAGCCTAACTTTAAACACACGTTGATGTGCCCTGTTGCAGAAGAATGGACTCAGATCACATTTGTGAGATTTCTTGTCAGTCATGAATTTCAATTTTCTATATTGCGCGTGAAGTCAAATATAAACACTCAGAACTCAGGATACGTGAGTGTCATTCGATTGGCTTTGACAAAATCGCACCATTTACATCAAGTGTGAATTTGACTCTTTGTCATTTTAGTGCAGGTAAATGTAGTAAGAAGACATCCTCTCTCCACACATGCACAGCAATAAAGCATCTCTTCAGTGTTCATCCTACACAAACCGCTTCATAAAATAATAATAGTTACAGGGAGGTGTATCATGATATCAAGAGGCTATGAATGATTCATGTTGTGGTAAAGTATTTTTACTGAACCCTGGTCTTCAGGTCCTAAAATATTTATAAAAAGCAAAAAAATACCTCTATTTCCCACAGTGCTTTAGAACTTGTTGCAGAAGTGGCTGACTGACGTAATGTAGTACGAAGGAAAATATGTTGTTTCTTCTCGTATTCATCACAGGTCAGAAACTTCTCTTGCTCTGCATGAAACAGCCTAACAACATCTCCCTAAAGTAATATGAAAAAGAAGTATTATTAAGTGGTAGGCAAAGCTGCTAGATTCACCCTCTGTATCTGTACTAGCTCCAGTGATGTCAACATAGCTGATGTGAAGAAAACATTTATTAGTTTCCCATTGCTGGAGCAGGTACCAAGTGCAGAGCATACAATCTCGGCACTGAGTCTCGAAATCAAATGAGATAATTCAGTCCTGCAGGAGACCCATGCACTTTTGTGAAAACAGAACTTGTTTCAGAGCACTGCAATGAACAGTGGGCAACAATTAACCTAAAGGTGATTTTTAATTCTAGCTAACTTTACTAAGTGGATTTTTTATTTCTAATCTCTCTTAGTATTTAGGGAAAGTGAACAGGTATTTCTAACATCATATTACCTCATCTCTTCTACTCTGCAACCAAAACCAACGTCCCCTCTTTATTTCTTCTCCTGGCATTATTTTTCCTTCCTTCCGCATCTACCCAAGGCTTGAAACACTATCCCCAAATGGGTCTACACAGATACACCATTTTCCCTTTCAAATTCTTCCTCAAAAACTGCTGGTACCTTGATAGCTACTGAAAAATAGCCCGTTGATAATGACTTATTAAGGTACAAGTGAAGACAAATGAAATTTATTTCTTCAAAATGAAAATGTAAATGACCTCAGGGAGTGATCTGGAGGCATGAAGCTATGCAATCCCTCAGCATTCAAAGCTACTCATTAAAGCTATTGTCATCTTTCATGCCTCACTCCCTTCTGTAAGCTTGTTACACCTGCTTTTAGCATCTTGGCATAAACTGAAGCGTCACAGCTATTCTGTGAGAGCCCTCATCATTCTGGGCTTGAACTTCACCTTTTCTCATGGATCTTCAATTGTCTCTGGGAGGGGAAAAGGGGCTGGAAGCTAGCACAATCCAGACAATTTCACTTAATAAGACAATAACACAAAGGAAAAATATTCTGGCTGTTGAAGGACAGGAGTGAGGGATCCTCAACAGCTCCAGAAAGCCCTCATTTCTTCTTTTATTCACCATGTAATATTTCTCTACAGTCAAATATGGCATGATTTTTCAGATTCAAAAAACAATTTAAAAAATCATACTTACTCCTTTCAGTACATCATCTCGATAACTACTGAATTTCATGAACAAAGTTATTTTCCAGCTTGTGTTACAGTTGACAGCATTTACCTTTGGGGGGGGAAAAAAAAACGCAATTATTGTCTTAAGGGGTGTTCTTTTCTTTTTGAGACATTCTATTCTTCTAAAAGACCACACCACATCTAGGGTGGCAGGGGACAAGGCTTAGCTACATATTTGTACAGTTCCTAACATGGCTCCTGAAGCTCTCATGTGTTAATAATAATACTGATGTTGATGTTGGAGAAGATTCAGTGGGCAAAATGCTACTCTGTTGACAGCCTACCAAAGACGACCTAAAGAGCTGTTGGAATAGGACTTACTCTTACATCAGTCAGAGTTTCAGATACTCAAGCAAACCTCACGAAGCTTCAGCGCCAGGCAGAACTGCGCCAAGAAAAGTATATTTCATCTTGGTTTTTTGAGGCCACGCTGGAACCAATGTTTAATACTGGCATCTAGCCCATGGTGGGCTCATGGTGGGTTCTGGTTACCAGTAAAGAACAATGTATAATACATCTCAGATCAGCAGTTACTCCTCCTCGCTCCACTGAACTCACCTCTTTGCAGCCAGGGTTATCTAGAAGCTCAATGTTGCTGGCATGTAGAGGCTGCCCTGCATTGACTGGCATGAGAACAACTTTATCTCCCACAACAACCTGGAAGTCAGAAATAAAATGCAATTTAGACCTATGTAATTATCCAATAAAATGAAGTAATGTTATATTTTTAGAAAATTACTCAAATGCATGCTCTAGGAATGGCACTCAGTGAATTTATTTGCAGACAATTCACACACCAGCTCTGTTTGCCCGTGCCTCTGCAATTGCTTGGGTTCAAGATTTCACACTAATGAATCCTCGCATTCTCAGTAAGCATGTCACCCGGTT